GGCAAATTTGGTCTGGTTTTAGGGGTCTACTTAAGTCTTTTTTGCAGTAATTCTTCTTTTTTATCAAAAGTCACAGAAGTAATGTTCGTAAGCTTCTGATGAAATTTATGTATTTCCGCTTTGTTGTCAATTTCTTCCATTTGAATCTTGTGTTTATTTTCCCGTAGTTTGTGAAGTTTCTTGGATTTTTTTGTCGTATCTGGTCTAGTAGTAATGTGTCATGTGATTTGGCTTCTTTTATAATCGTTTCGATGGTGATGTGGTGGAAATGGTAGTGTAGTTGTTGGTAGTTCTTGTATAGTTTCATGTTTAGTTCATTCAGTTTTCTGTAGTGACCGTTTAATGTTCTTCACATATATTGTATCTTAATCTTCTCGATTTGGTTCCTCGTAAGATGTTGAGGGTATTTCTTGTTAGTAATGTTTGGAAAAATTCCTTCTTTTAGGCATATTTTCAAAAACCTTATGTATTGGAGTTGCAGTTTTAATAATATTTGTTGGCAAAGTTTTATAAAACACAGGATTTGGTGTTAAGTATGCATTCATTCTTTTAGTTACCATCACACTGTAAGCTAAGAGCATTCGTTTCTTTAATTTTCACTTTAATGTCTGCATCAACTTTTTCATGCTCGGAGTCCAGTAATTTATTTGATAATAAATAACCTGTAGGCATTTTGAAAGATGGTCTTAAATGTTTGAAAAATGATTGCCAGTGATTATTTTCAACAATGGCAAATGGAGTACCTGTAGCATAAACAGCCCTAGCTAATAGTTTTCTAGCTTCTCCTGATCAACTTTTGATGAAATATCAATAAAACCATCGAGTGTGGAACTCGATGAGGGTCTGTTAACTGCTGATTCTGATGTCGTCTAAAATTTAAAAATAAAATCATCGTCATCTAAAAATAAAATTTAAGAAAATAAATTCAATGTTCATAGCTGCTAGCTAGTTTTCTATCGCCTGTCGCAAATATTTTCTAAGCTTATCATTGAAGAAGTAGAAGCAGTAGTTGAAAAGAAAGTAGAAGAAATCTTCTCCTTTTGCTCTTTGTCAAACATTTGTTTCACGCTTACTCACAGTGTTAGGAAGTTATGAATATCTGTCCAAAAATCTAATTACAACTAAATGAAGTTGAAAATGTTTAATACCAATATAATATCTCCTTAATGGTTAGCTAGAATTGATTTCATTATAAACAGTACTTAAAACAAAATTTAGGATTTTGAAACGAATATTTGAAACTAAAAGTGAAACAAAGGTTTTGTTGTGTTCCGAAAACATGGTACATTTGTTTCATGTATCCTCACAATAAGTAATATATACTTATATACTATAATATATACAGGGTGTCTCACGTACCTGGTTCGTTAAAACTTTTTGAGGTTCTGCTATTCATAGTGGACCCTAAAAAAGTTCTAACGAACCAGTAACGTGAGACACTCTGTATGTAACACCCCATGTATACACTGTGTACATAAAGTATGAAATCAATTCGATAAAAATTTGAGGGATATTAAATTTTTAAATTTGTGTCCCAAAATTGAGGTTTTAAATTATTTTTTTTCTCAGAAATTATTAAATTTTAGAAGGAAGAACATCAGAGCGACAAAAAAGTTTTAGAATCTATCTAACTGAAATTTTTCCAATGTGTTTATCAACTTCATAAAAAAAATCTAGGCATAAATTGAACGGGAGTACAAATAGGGTCAAAACGTGCCCTATTATGAGTTAAACATATTCCCCAAATTTCATTTTCCTAGCGTTTATGGTTTTTGAGAAAAAGAAATTAAACCACAATTTTCCGCCATTTTTGGAGGGGTGTAGCTCCTTAGGGGAGCCGAAGTCGCCCAAAGTAACCTAAAAATTCACTAAAGAATCACCCCTTGAAGTTTGTTGCAGTCATTCAGATTCACCCTGTAGATCTAATAATACAGTTAGTAATTAATTCACAAAAAAATAGTTATTCTGAAAAATTGTAAACGATTGATAGTTTCAAAACTAACTTTCAGCATTCACTGTCGAATATCCGTAGACACCACCCTGTATATTAGCCATTTTATTGAAAATGTGCAAATATGCGCAATTTATTTTTTTGGGGACGGAAAGTATAGGCTTGAAACTACATAAAAAACAAATTTCAACCTGGCATCTTATGGGACTTTTTTTGTAGCTTAAATTAAAGTTTAACATTGCAAATAAAATCTGTTTATGAACAGTGTTGAGAAAACGATAAATAAATTCAGCATTCAAGAAGCTATTACAGTGTTACATACACAACACATACGGTATAATATTATAGTGAAATTTTATAAGGGTACAACTTTTAATATGTTTACAATCGTTTCTCAATATTAATCAAATGTTTTTGGAAATTAATATGCAAAATAAGTGTTAACTTTACATGTCATTTTATCCAGAGTTCAAGTTAATAATAAGTTAAACCAATTATCCATGTTGCAAGTGAGAAATATAAAAAATCAAAAACAGATAAAAACTTCTAACTTGCTTTCAGAATTTATTTAATGTGTAATGTTTAATGTGTAATGTATTTAATATGTAAATAAATTCTGATTTTTCTCCAATTTTTGATGGCCATCAGTCTCTAAATGTAAGTTTTGCAAAGCTTTTTCATATCATTTTATATTAATATGTTTTTAATATATGTTTTTAATATTTCACATTTTTATAACAATCCACGTTTCACACTTTTGTAACTTTAACTGAGAATTTAATTTTCATCGTTCAATTTAATTTAACTTTTATAACAATTTAAATTTAACTATTTCGATTCGACTTAAAAAAATTTTTGTCAAAACTTTTCCAATTTTTGTAAAAAACTTTTAAATTTTTTACGTAGATCTTCTTTAACAACAAATGTCATATTTTTTAATTCTTATTAGCTTTCGGCTGTGATGGAGCGTTGATTCCGAAACCGGTTCTGATTTATACAGTGTGTCCCCGGATTGTGTCCTCGTAAGGTATAATTAACGATAAATTTTTGAATTCAAATTCCATCTTTTGCAATAAAAGTCTGGATGTCATAAAACGAAATATAACCAAGTTTTACGTCAAATATCCTCAAAGTACCAAAGTTAACGCAAGAAGTTTGTTAACCGTTGCAGGTAACGTGGTCTTTCTGACCAATGTACAACAAAAGTTGATTAAAATAAAATGTTTGTTATGTTAAATTATAGCGATATGCCGAATTTTATTAATTTAGTATATAAAAAGAAAATGAGTTTTTTCTTGAAAATTTTTTTCTAATATTCCGTTTTACAATAAAAACAAATGACCTGAGTGAACTAACAATTATCATTTGATAGCTTAGCTTTAGCCTATTGTCAAATATTAATTGATCATGTTTACATTACAATATAAAATATTTATAGTGCAGTGCTATGGATTGGGGAACATTAGTTACAATGCAGTTTTAAGGCAATTTCAGGAAAATTTGGATTTTTGGTAGATAAAAAAACAATTAAGAGAGTTGTTAAAAAATTTTCGGAAACGGGCAATGTGGAAAATAAAAGGAAGGAAAAAAAGTTTTTAGATGAACATGATGCGGGGTCGATTGTTGCAGTAACGAACGCAATGGATTATGGTAAGGTGTCGTATTATAAACCAAAATTTAACCACACTATCGAATTAGGTGATGAAGCAAAATGTTTAGATTATTGTTTGTAGCTTGGGTACAAAATTTTGAAAGACATTGCGGCCCACATTCGACCATTTTAATTAAAAATTATTTAAATACGTTATTTCGAAAAAAATGGATTGGTAGATATGATCCGCAACCATAGTTGCCAAGAAGTCCGGATTTATTTATTATGGATTTTTATTTTTGAGGTTATGTAAAACAAAAAGTGTACACTGAAAATTGTAATAACAATTTAGACCGTTTAAAACAAAAAAATTGAAACTGTTATTAGAGAAATTCCGTTGGACTATATTAGAAAAAGTTATAAACAATGTCTGAAAAGGGCTGAATTTAGTTTAGATCGAAAATGTTTTGTTAATCTTATGATTTAAAAATCTGCATTTTGCTTTTATATCCTACATTAATAAAATTCAGCATATCGCTATAATTTAACATAACAAACATTTTATCTTAATCAAGTTTTGTTGTACATTGCTCAGAAAGGCCACTTTACCTGCAACAGTTAACAAACTTCTTGCGTTAACTTTGGTACTTTGAGGACATTTGACGTAAAACTTGGTTATATTTCGTTTTATGGTATCCAGACTTTAATTGCAAAAGATGGAATTTGAATTCAAAAATTTATCGTCAATTATACCCTACGGGGACGCAATCCGGGGACACACTGTATATTACAATAAAGCAAGTTAGAAGTTTTTATCTGTTTTTGATTTTTTTAATAAAAAGTGGTTATTGCGGAGTAGCGAGTATTACGATATAACCTAACGATCCCCATTTGCCAAAATATTAAAAAAGAAAATTAGTAAAATCATGTTATGGCCGGTAATTTCAAACTTGCTAATACTGTGCTACTGGGCGTTTTAAACATTTTAATGAATGTTCTTTTAAATTCTTACAAGAATATTCTTCTTTCATCTCTAAGTTCTCGGTCTAGTGTTAGTTCTAGTACTGCACTAGCTTTATCACTAGAACTAACACTAGACCTAGAACCATAAACATTCGGGTTTAGCTTTGTGTCTCTTAAGACGGAAACTCAGAGTTATATCATAAAGACGTCTCCTTTTCCACGCAAAACTTTTCCTTTGCAAAACTACCCAATGCCTGTACTATTAAGCTACGTTGCATTTTATGTGGGACAGTGCAAGCGCATAGTAGTTTCGTAACTATGGTTACTGCATTCATATATTGCGAGTTATTTGAAATTCCCTGTATATCTATTACTTCTAAAAAGTATTTATTACCTTTAAATTTATTTGCGGGCTAATTTAATCTGTGTAAAGATTTATAAACTGTGATGGGGGTTCAGGTACTTAAAGATTTTTCCATAAAAAGTGANATGATCGTAGACAGGAAGTTCAACAAGATCATCAACAACAACAAGAAGGTAATTAATATTAATTAAATTACACTGTTGGAAATAATTCACGAGCACACCCTGTATAGTCTAAACGCGAAAAGATAATCCATAATACTTGCGGAGCATAAAGGTTTTACCGTAAACGAGTTTATGCAGCGAGTTGCGAGTTTTTCTGTCGCGGCATTGTTGACTGAGCATTGAGACCGAAGTGAGGTGTAGTGTGAGGGACCAGTTTGTTGTCATACTTTGTGCGATCATTTCAGAAACTATAAGAGATACGAAAAAAGTAGGTGCCATGTCCCGGCCTCTTTTTTCGAGACTAATACAATCCCGCAAACACACAACCTCTATCTTCTTTTGTTTTGAAGTTGTAGCCAAAAAGTCAAATTTTCGTGATTTCAAAAAATGCTCATATTTCGTTTATTTTTCAATTTAGAGAAATGGAGTTGATACATTCTTAAGACACTTTTTAAGTAGAATATACTGCCGTTGAAAAATTTTAAATATACTTGATGATTTTTGAGATACAACACAACGTTATGTTTTTTTAAATACAAACTATACTTAATTATGATGTTACTGAAAAGAGCATACTTTTAGCTTTCCAATAATGTATCGCATTATGATGTCTTTGCAGAAAATAAGCGTTAATTGTCAATTCCAAAATAGTAAGCGCCAAATTATTCAAAATTTTGATTATAGTAAGCGGGTCCGGACAGTAAATACTACCTAGTGGCTATAATACAGGGTGCCCATTATGTGTGGAATATAGTATACAGGGTCATCCAAAACGACCGTCCATTAGAACTTTACAGGGTTCTGGCCAAAATAAAAATTTGAAAATTCAGATTTAAGTATTATCAATTGCGTTCTCTTCGACTAAAATATTTTCTGATATCTAACACTTCCGGTTATACCGGAAGTCGCCACATATTTTATTTTTTAAATGGAACACCCTCTATATTTTTACATATTTGAATTTGTCTGTTTTCAAAGTTTATGAATGACTTTACTTTTTGCAATTTGACTCGCCCGTTCTCGAGTTATTCGAATTTTTCTAGAAAAATCTGCTCCTGTAGACATTTGTTCAAAAAATCAGAGAACACTTGATTTTTGGGATATCAATTTAGGATTCAGAACATGGTTAAGCAACATGATGGAGTATGTTTTGGTACCGAGTATGGCTGTCTAGAACGTTTGGTCACTTTACCATGACACGTTACCTTTTCGAAACTTGGAAGTACCATAACTTTATTTCTTTAAATGGCACCCCCCATATTTTATTATTTAGTCGTCTTCGGTGTCTCATTTTACATCTTTTATATCTCATTTGTCCTATAGTTTGGGAAATAATTAAGGTTTTTTGAAAAATGCACACAAATATCGATATTTAACCTAACGTGCCATGAATTGTGACCTAGTGAATAACCGACTGAAGTGGAGGTTTGAAAATTTGCAGACTTGTGATGTTTGATGCCAGCTTTTTAACTAAAGTATTTTCAGGTTCCCTGTACTTGTGGTTACACCGGAAGAGGTGACAATTTTCATATTTCAAATGGAACACCATGAGTTTTATAACATTTTTAAATCAAAAATGTTAATTACAACGTTACTTTTTGTAATTTATAAATCATCTACTTTGACCGCCGGAAAAAAAAATTTGTGTTGGGAATGTTGTGGTTATGTATTATCAGAGGATCAGTAAGGAAAGAGTAAACAGTTTGACATTTGTTAAAGCTATGGTTTATTTCTGTTGGTGTGATGACTAGGTTACTTTTTGTAGTGATCTGTTCTCAAGAAATGTCACGTTTGGAATTTAGTAATGAGGATTATTTGAATTTAATAATAATTTATGGAGAGTGCAACGAAATAATTGCGCGTACGTGCCGGTTGCAACATACAAGTGGAATAAAATTGAACAAAAATTTCAAAAATGTAATGAAATGCAGGGTGTTCCATTTGAAATATGAAAATTGTCACCTCTTCCGGTGTAACCGCAAGCACCCAGAATCTGAAAATATTTTAGTAAAAAGCTGGCATCAAACACAGAAGTCTGCAAATTTTTAAAAGGCTAGTTCATATGGTTATACACTAGGTCGCACTAGGTATTCATGGCACACTAGGTTAAATATCGATATGATATGTGTGCATTTTTCAAAAAACCCTAATTATCTCCCAAACTATAATTGTTAGGTATAGGACATATGGTATATAAAAGATGTAAAATGAGACACCGAAGTCGACTAAGTAATAAAATATGGGGGGTGCCATTTAAAAAAATGAAGTTATGCTATTTCCAAATTTCGAAAAGTTAACGTGCCGTAGTAAAGAGACCAAACGTTCTAGACAACCGTACTCGATACTAAAACATACTCCATCATGTTGCTTACGCATGTTCTGAATCCTAAATTGATATCCCAAAAATCGAGTGTTTTCTGATTTTTTTAACAAATGTCTGCTGGAGCAGATTTTTCTAGAAAAAATCGAATAACTCGAGAATGGCCGAATCAAATTGCAAAAAGTAAAGTTATTCATAAAGCTTGAAAGCAGACAAATCCAAATATGTAAAAATATATAGGGTGTTCCATTTAAAAAAATAAAGTAGGTTACGACTTCCGGTATAACCGGAAGTGCTAGAAATCTGAAAGTATTTTAGTCGAAGAGAACGCAATTAATAATACTTAAATCTGAATTTTCAAATTTTTGTATTGGCCAGAACCCTGTAAAGTTCTAATGGACGGTCGTCGTGGATGACCTGTATATCATGGTAGGTATCAACTTTATAAAAAAACATTTTATACAAAAGTTATTTAATATTTTATTTGCGCTAATAAGACACCAGTCAATTGTTTTTATTTCAGAAAACAAATGAGCAACGAATAACACTTGAAGTTTTTTAAATGGCAATGTACCCTTTCGTTAGGCTCATTTGATAGAGATTTGTTTTCTTTTTACGATGACATAAAATTTTAGTACCATTATATCAGAAAATTTTTGAAAAAAATGTAAAAATTGTTTATTAAGAAAATTTAACTAATAACATTAATCTAGATATCCGAGATCGTCAAGTACCTTGAAGTACCTCGAATTATTGGAGATGTACACTAATTTTTCATTTATTTGTTTTATTTTGTATGTAAATTTAATTTACGGTAATAATTCGAGATACTTGACGATCTCGGATATCTAGATTAGTGTTATTGATTAATTTTTATTGATGATAATTTTTATTGACAATATTTACATTTTTTTCAAAAATTTTCTGATGTAAGGGTACTAAATTTGTACACCATCGTAAAGAGAAAAGTAATCTCTATCAAATGAGCTTAACGAAAGAATACATTGCCATTTAAAAAAATTTAAGTATTATTCGTTACTCATTTGTGTTCTGAATTAAAAACAATTGAATGCAGTCTTATTATGGCAAATAAAATGTTAAACAACTTTTGTATAAAATGTTTTTTTATAAAGTTGATACCTACCAAGATATATACTATATTCCATACATAACGGGCACCCTGTATATTAATTATATACTTTCAAAATGTATGTCAGTTTAATTTTTAAAAACTTAAAAATTTAAACAGAGCACAACTTAATTTAACTATTGATGTAACCTAATTAAAAATATAAAAGTTTACTAACAAAATAGCAGAAGACAGAATAATTAGTAGAAGTTATTATTTTATATTTGTCAAAACAATAATAATAGTTATTTATATTACAAGTGGGCCAGAAACATAATTACAGTACGAGTGTGGAAAATTGCACGACGAGGTCGTAGGCCGAGTCGTGTAATCACATGAGTACTGTAATTATGCTCTAGCCCACGTGTGATATACAGCATTTTATCTACGACTGCTAAAAATTACTAAAAAATCAATTTCTTTAAAAAAGTCTATTTGACATTTATAAAAATATTTTGAAATGATTGTTGACAATTTTGAATTGTCAGTTTCAACAACATGTTTACTCATCTGGAATAAGTGTTTTGAAATGTAAAAACATAACAATTAATGTTTATAATAAATAGTATTGTTTCTCTGTAAGTAGATAGCACTTTTTCTTTTGTATTGTTGCTCGTTTCAATAAATTAAGTCTGTTCTGATTAGGCTAAAAATGCGTTACGTAATGAAACCAGTGCGGTAATGAACTTCATTACGTAACTCAAATCACCTCAAATGAGTGCGGTAATGATGACTTATCCAAGCAGTCGTAAATAATAGTATATTATTCAACAAGCGTATAATGGCGGCTGTTACCCACGAAGAAGAAGTTGCAACACGAGCGAGCGAAGCGAGCGAGTGTTGTAATCTGAGTGGGTAACATCCATTATACGCAAGTTGAATACTATACTTTATCTACAACTATTTAATTTTGAAAAAAAAATCAAAAAAACGAAAAAAAAATAAACTTGATAGACATTTCAGACATAACCTCAATATAAGAAAGCTGTCATTTCTGTTAATATTTTATTTTTTGATTAGTAGGCAGTGTCAGAAGTGTGGAATAATGGCCTCATTATTCAACACTTTGTCTGTCATGGGTAATGAGTGTCATTACCCGTCAAAAATCAATTGTATAACGAATAGATAATTCAATAGTAGTAAATAATAGTATATTATTCAACAAGCGTATAATGGCGGCTGTTACCCACGAAGAAGAAGTTGCAACACGAGCGAGCGAAGCGAGCGAGTGTTGTAATCTGAGTGGGTAACATCCATTATACGCAAGTTGAATACTATACTTTATCTACAACTATTTAATTTTGAAAAAAAAATCAAAAAAACGAAAAAAAAATAAACTTGATAGACATTTCAGACATAACCTCAATATAAGAAAGCTGTCATTTCTGTTAATATTTTATTTTTTGATTAGTAGGCAGTGTCAGAAGTGTGGAATAATGGCCTCATTATTCAACACTTTGTCTGTCATGGGTAATGAGTGTCATTACCCGTCAAAAATCAATTGTATAACGAATAGATAATTCAATAGTAGTAAATAATAGTATATTATTCAACAAGCGT